TGGTCCAGTTGTGAGGATTTTTGTTTTCTTTGCAGTGAGGTGCAACCCATACTGAAGGCTGTGGTCTTTGATCTTCATCAGTAAGTATCTTAAGTCCTCTTTACTTCCAATAAGTAAGGTTGTGCCATCTGCATATCACAGTTTATTAATGAGACTTCCTCCAATCCTGATGCCACAGTCTTCTTCATATAATCCAGTTTACCGGTTTACTTGCTCAGCATATAGATTTAATAAGTATGGCAAAAGAAAACAGCCCTGGAGCACAGCTTCCCTAATATTAAACCATTAAGTGTTCCATTCTTCTGTTCAAGGGAATACCGCCTCCTGGCCTATGTCAGGTTCCCTGTGAGGAGGCATACAGGTAGGATGCTGACTATGGGAGCAGACTTGCATGGACATTCTGTAGCAGTTTGCAGCAACCTGGCAGCCAGCAGTTACCTGGTGGGGGAGGGGTATCATACTCCAGTCAGATCCCCCTGGGGGTCTGCTTTGGTGCTGTCAGTACCCACTGGTTGATTGTTGGTTACGAATGCAACCTCCACTCAAGACACCTGATTCCTAGTTGACAGCAGCCTCAGGTGGCAGTCCTCGGTGCAAACTGAAAGTGTCTTGTCCTGGTGGTTACAGAGCACTGAGCTATGGGGTGCCCAGAGAAGCAAGTAGAATACCAACTATGACACTTGAGAAGTTACCCCCATTTTGACTTTTTAAATAAATAATAAAATTTTGCTTTTCCATTGTATCACCTTATTTTCTTTTTCATTTGCTTAATTTACTGTTCTTTCTTTATTTTACATTAAATGATCAGTTTATTGTGTTTTTCATACAAAAATATCTAGGACTATAATTTTTTTCAACACACCTTTCTTTTTATCTTGTAGGTTTTGATAGTTTTCCTATTCATTAAATTATATTTTTTAAATTTCAGTTTGTATTTTTTTTCTCTCTCTGATTCAAAGATTATTTAGGGGAAAAATATTTCTTATTTTGTAGGATTTTCAAATTGTTGTTTCTTTACAGTGAGGTGCAATCCATATTAAAGGCTGTGGTCTTTGGTCTTCGTCAGAAAGTATCTTAAGTCCTCTTTACTTCCAGTAAGCCAGGCTGTGTCATCTGTGTATCACAGGTTATTAATGAGGCATTCTGTAGCAGACTGAATTTCTAGTTTCAAAGGATGAAATTGGAGAATATGGCTGTCTGGGTTATCCAGAGCCGCTGTAACAGAAACACCACAAATGGATGATTTGAACAAACACAATATTCTCTCACAGGCCAAGAGGCTAGAAGGTCCGATTCAGAGCCCTGCTATGGGGAAAGGGCCTGGTGTCCTTCAGCTTCTGTGGCCACAGCATCCCTTGGTGATTTCCTTGTGTCCTGGCATCAATCTTCCCCAGAACCTAGGAGTTTCAAAGTACAAAGGCCCCAGGTCTAAAGGACACGCTCCACTCCTGGCTCTTCTTTCTTGGTGGTAGTAAAACCCTCTTTTTCTGCTCACCTCTCTCTCCTTTTATCTCCTATAAAGTTAAAGGTGGAGCTTGGTGGCTCCAAACAATAAGTACTGGACTGTGAACCACAAGTTCCATGGTTCGAGCCCACATGCCACTTCTTGGGATGAGGCTTTCTGCATCCTCAAAGATTTAAAGCATTGGAAAGCCTATACAGGGCCACTGTGATTTGGAACCAATTCAACAGCACTTAACATCAACAATCACCTTGCTAGAGTCCCTGGGTGATTCAAATGGGTAAGGTACTCAGCTGTTAACCAGATGGTTAAGATTCAAGTCCACCTAGAGGCATCTCAGAAGAAAGACGGAATGAGCTCCTTCCCAAAACCCTGTGGAGCACCATTCTACTTTGTCTCACATGGGGTTGCCGTGAGTCAGCATTGACTCACCACCAACTGACGTACTACCTTGCTAAAAGAATTCTCCATTATTACAAACATTGACAGGAAAAAATAAAACCTATTCCTAACATAGTATTTTGGAGTTTTGGTGTGGCGCTGTGAATTAATGTGCTGGACAGCAAGGTCAGTTGGAACCACAAGGTCAGTGGTTCAAGTTCTCCAGCTGCTCTTCAAAGCCCTCCATAGGGTCACTTTCTAACATCATGCTTTATAGAAGTTCTGTACTGTATTTCCCACTCCTTGGTTGGAAAACCCAGAAGAAGAGGATCAGCGTTGCCGTCATTGTTGTTAGGTGCCATCGAGACATTCCCACTCATGGCGGCTTTATTCACAACGGAAAGAAACACTGCCCGGGCCTGCGCCATCCTCACGGCTGTTACTCTTGAGCCTGTTGCTGCTGCCACTGTTTCGATCCTTCTTGTTAGGGGTCTTCCCCTTTTTTTCTGACCCTCCATTTTACTAACCATGATGTCCTTCTCTAGGGAGTGGTCCCTCCTGATAACTTGCCTGAAGTATGAGAAACAAAGTCTCACCGTCCTGGCTTCTAAGGAACGTTCTGACTGTATTTCTTCAAACACAGATTGGTTTGTTCTTTGGGCAGTCTATGGCACTTTTAATATTCTTCTCCAACACCATAATTCAGATATATCAATTCTTATGCAGTTGCCTTATTAATTGTCCAACTTTCACATGGACATGAGGCAACTAAAAGTAATGTGATTTGAATCAGGTGCATCTTACTCCTAAACTGATCTATTTGCTCTTTAACACTTTAAAGAGATCTTGTACAGAAGATTTTCAGCAAGCCAGGTTTTATCACCTGCATGTCACAAGTTGTTAATGAGTCGTCCTCCTATCCTGATGCAATGTTTTTCTTCATCTAATCCAGATTCTTGCATTATTTGCTTAGCATACAGATTGAATAAGTATGGTGATACTTATACACGTTTTCTGATTGTAAACCATTTAGTATCCCCTGGTTCAGTTCTAATAACTGCATCATGGTCTATGTACAGGTTTCTCATGAGCACAATTAAGTGTTCTGGAGTTCCCATTCTTCACAATGTTATCCATAGTTTGTCATGCTCTACACAATTGAATGCTTTTGCATAGTCAGTAAAGCACAAGTAAACATTTTCTGGTTTTCTCTGCTTGTAGCCAAGATCTATCTGATTTCAGTAATGATAGCCCTAGTTCCATATTCTCTTCTGAATCTGGATTGAATTTCTGTTTGTTCTGTCAGTGTACGAGGGTCAGTCAAAAATTATTCACACCCTGGTTATATTAAAACGCCTGTCCACATCCAAGGCTGATGACATTGTGTGTACATGTGAAATGATTCTATTAAATAGACCAGTGACCTGGACTATGTGGCAAATTATTTGCAAATCAGCCATGGCTCTGCCTATGGAATAATCCATGACAGACTTGGGTTTCTAAATGTTTATGGAGATGGGTACCAAACCAACCCATGGAAGAGCATCAACAGAAGTGTTTGGACAGCTGCAAACAAAATTTGGTCTGATACTCGAAGGAAAGGAAAGTTTCTTTTTTTTTTTAAAAAAGTGTTACTGGTGATGAGACATGGATTCATCACTATGAGCCTGAGAGTAACCGGCAGAGTATGGAATGGAAACTTCCTCAATCACTGGCCAAGAAAAAGGTCAGAAGTCATCCATCCGCTCCGTGAAGAGCTGATGAAGCCCAAACTTCGGATTAGAAGCAGAGGACTGCTATCCAAGGGCACTGTGAGTTGTGATTTTGCATGACAACACATCCCCATACCTCTGCAAAAACTTGGTTTTGAGTTGTTAAAGCATCCTCCCTATAATTCTGATCTTGCTCCATCAGACTTTCACCTGTTCGGTCCTCCGAAAGCAGCCCTTGGCGGACGAAGATTCACCTCAGATGAAGAAGTGAAGACAGCGGTGCATTCGTGGCTTGCAGCTCAGCCTAAAACATTTTTTTAAAGAAGGAAATACTACTCATGGACAAAGTGTAGTGTAAAGCAAAGAGATTATATTGAACAATATCTATTTGTCTTTTCTAAAAGTTGATTACAATAAACTCTGTCGCCAGAATGCAGATGATTTTTGACTCACCCTTGTACTGTTGCAACTGTTTTTGAATTATCTTACGTAATATGTTACTTGCATAGTTTATTAATAATAGTGTTTTATGATTTCCCGTTTAAACTTGTCTACCGTGGGTGACCCAGCTAGTATTGGCAATGCTTCCATTATCATGGCATCACGCAAACCACCACTGTCCAAGCAACCCGCAGGCGAGTGGTGGGGGATCGGAGTGGCTCATCATTTAGAGAGTGCTCTGACGAAAGAAAATCGAGACAGAAGAGAAGCATATGTGATAACTTAACATTTGTGTTCTGGCAATTTTATGTGGGATGTGTAAAATGTAAGATTAATAAAAGAACCAATCTTAAATTCCAAGTCACAATGAAGCAAGCTTGACTAGAGTGCCTCTGATTTAAACATCATATAAATGCGTGAAAACGAAGAGCAACCCCTTTATATCTTTTGTCGCTGGAAAAAGACAGCTCTACTAAAATGAGTTAGATCTATCTTAAGACCCAAAAAGGAATGTTGGAGATCTGAAGCCATCCTGAGATGTACTTGCTCAGAGGACTGCAGGTCCTGTCTTCCTAAATGCTTCCTTGAGTCAGAGTAGGTGCCATGCCATAGGCCAAGGCAATGCCAACCCAGCAGGCAGATGGCCTGTGCAAGAAAAAACTCAGAATAGAGCGGTTGGGGTGTGGATATGCAATAGGGGTGGGCATCACAGGTATGTACTGTGTGTATTGTACAGTGGTGCTTGTTTGTGTGTGTGCATATGTCTGCCCTCTGTGTTTGCATGTGTGTGTGCCCCTGAATATGTGTATTTGGTGTGTGCAGTGTGCGTGTGTGTGTGTGTTTGTATCTGCACATGTGTGGTGTGTGTGCATAAGTGTGTGGGTGTTTGCTGGTCTGTGTTAGTGTACTGCTGTGTGTGTGTGTGTGTGTGTGTGTGTGTGTGTGTGTAGTCATACCGACAGCACACTCAGTCCCTCTGGCTGTGTTTCCTCCTCCCCCTGCAGAAAAGCGACTTTCCCGGGGCATCTCCCATGCCAGTTCAGCCATTGTCTCACTGGCCCGGTCCCACGTAGCAAGCGAATGCAACAACGAACAGTTCCCTCTGGAGATGCCAATCTACACATTCCAGTTGCCGGATCTGAGCGTGTACAGTGAAGACTTCAGGAGCTTCATTGAGCGGGATTTGATTGAGCAGGCAACCATGGTCGCTTTGGAACAGGCAGGTGAGTGGCTCTTCCAGGTGCCCGTGGCCAGCAGACCTGTGGGCTTGTGTTCCTCTGACCCATTAAGGACTGAGGTTGACCAGTCATGCACCATGTTCTCTAATCTGGGTGGTGTGCTCTAGGCACTTTTCAGCCAGGGCTAGCAGGATGTAGACCTCTTGAAAGAACTCCCTTGAGTTTCCCCTCTTGCTCCAATCCCACCTAACTCAGCCAGTCCTGCATCCCCATACTTCTTTGCCTGGCTTCTCTTCTCTCTTTTTCCCCATCCAGCTCTCCTCCATGAGCACTGGATAGAAGATAAGTGCCTTAGTCATCTAGGGCTGCCATCACAGACATACCACAGGGGATGGTATTCACAACCAGAAATGTATCCACTCACAGTTTAAAGGCTAGTCCAATTTCAGAGTACATGCTCTCAGGGAAGACTTTCTGGGTCAGCTCTGGGGAAGACCCCTATTTCCTTTCAGTATCTGTAGGCCTACCTGCTCTCGGGGAAGACTTTCCCTGTCGGCTCTGGTGAAGGCCCCTGTGTTCTTTCAGTCTCTATAGACCAAGCATTTCCTGGGGATCCCCATGTGTCTTGGCATCAGTCTTTCCCTGGATTTAGGAGATTCACAGTGCAGGGAATTCAGGTCATAAGGACAAACTGCATCCCTGCCTTTCTTTCTTGATGGTAGTTGGTCCCTCAGATCTCCTTCTCTCTCCTTTTATCTTTCATGAGTGAAAGTATTGCAGGCCAAACCCCTGGGAAACTCCCGTACCTTGGATCAGGGTTATGATGGGATTAAGGGCATCGCATTCCACCATTAGTCCTCTTCCTGGTTGACGATCAGATCATATTAAGGGGAATCCCTGCCTAACAACCACATTCCATCAGTACGTAACTGAGAACGCTGAGAATCGTGACCTGGCCAAGTTGACTCGATTTTGAGGGGACAAAATGCAGTCCATGAGTAAGAAAATCCATGGGCACTGTCATTGCCCATGTACATGGTAATCTGACCTCTCTTAGCCTCAGTTTCCCCTGCGAAAGTGAGAAGACTATCTATCACCTCTCTGGTGAAGCCTTTCTAGTAGCAAATGATACGTACTTTGGGAAATTAGACATGTCTTGCATTCCTGGGCATCTCCTTTCTTCTCACAGCCTCCAGATGGTAAAAACACAAAACCTGACTTCATTTTCCCTTCTTACTTCTTTACCATGCTAACATTCCAGTGAGAAAGAGATTCAGTGAACAAGCCAAACTTCTCTTATATGAATTAATGATGTTGTTCTTCAGTACTTCAAGTCAGCTCTCATCCATAGCAATCCTGGAGCGGGTTTCCAGGGAGCAGCTGGTGGGTTGGAACTGCTGACCTTGTGGTTCACAGTCCACTACTTATCCTTCAGTGCGACACCAGGAATTACTAAAAATAAAATAATTGGTTCAAACTAAACCAGTTGCCATCAAGTCAGTTGGACTCGTGGCAACCTCTTGTGTTTCAAAGGAGAACTGACCTCCACAGGGTTTTCAGTGGCTGGTATCTCAGAAGTAGCTTCCCAGGCCTTATTCTGAAGCATCTCTGACATGCCAACTTTCAGGATTAGCAGCAAAGTGCGTTAGTCACTAGCACCATCCAAGTACTCCATTGGTTCAAAACAAGTCTCTCAAACAGACTTCAGTTCTTCAATGAGAAAAAACAATGCCTGTTTTGCTATAGTCATGTGTGTTACACTCTCTCACACAGCATGTAGAGGACCCCAGATTCTTTCTCCCAGGCTCCCTCAGACTGTCCAGTTGGGCCCACCTGACCACGTAAGCCAAGACAGTTAGATGTGCTGTGTCCTCATTAGTCGGAGCCCTTGATTCCCACTGTGGATCCTCGCTCAGCCTCATCCAGTTGTTCCCACTCCCAAGACCAGGCTGTGGGAATGCTCGCCAGGTGTGATGACCCGGGAGCGCAGGACAGAAGGCTCTGGTGTGACCCCAGAGTACAGGACAGGAGGTTCTGGTGTGACCCTGGCATACAGGACAGGAGGTTCTGGTATGACCCTGGCATACAGGACAGGAGGTTCTGGTGTGACCCTGGTATACAGGACAGCAGGTTCTGGTGTGACCCCAGAGTGCAGGACAGGAAGTTCTGGTGTGACCCCAAAGTGTGGCTTGGGCTGAGCACAGCAGTGGGTAACTAGCAGAGAAGCTTTTCTCCGGTCTGCGGCCAGCAGGGCTACACCAGAGCCCTACAGCAGAGCTTATCCCAGCTCTTGACCAAGATTCAATTAAAACAGTTATGTACTTTCCAGAAGTAAAATAACATAGGTGGATGGATAGGATCCTGGCATTTGATGGGTGGGCCAGCAGGGTTCTGGTGATCCCTCATCTGAGTGAAATGAGGAGAACTCCTTAGGGATTATGCCAAACACTGGTCAAGGCACGGGGGTACCAACAAAGGGAGAGGGAGGCCAGAAGCAGAGGTGCCTGGGGGCAGAGGGACAGAGTTGGAGGAATGGATATTTGAACAGCAGCCAGAGTCCAAAGCTCAGAGTAGGTTGGATCCCACAGATGGAAAGCAGGCAGTGAGTGTGCTTATCGGGTATGTTGGCCAGATTTGGCTTCTGTTGTGACATCATAGCTTGTTTGAACGCTCCAGGGGTGTCCTTATCTACTCACTCAGGAAGGAAGGCACCAACAGAGAGTAGGCTCCATTGGCAGAAGGCAAGTAGCTGACTGACAGGACTTTACCCTGGTGGGCAGCCCTGTAGCCCAACCTCAGCTACAGGATGTACAGAGTCTTAGGAGTCATGTGCTTGGAGTAAGGCAGACTAGAAAGAAAGACCTGGCAATATACTTCCTTAAATCAGTCGATAAAAAAATCCTGTGGGTTCAAACATAATATCTGATATAGTGGGATATGAGTCACGAGGTTAGAAGGCGTTCAAGTCACACCGTGGTTGAAACAATGGACTCCATCGTACCAATGAACATGAAGCTGATGCCAGACCAGTCGATGTTTCTTCTGTCGTACCTGGGGTCTCCGTGAGTCATGGTTTCCAACGTACGAAAACATCTTTGAAAAATCCAGACCTACCATGTTATAGAACGACTCCTTGCTTGTATCATGAGGAGTGAACAGAGAAACACAACCACAGCAATAAGTGGCCACAGGGATGCCAGCCCCATCCTTGGCCTGTGGGGCCCACCCTCGCTAAGAGGACACGGGAGGCCTAAAGAGAGCAGGCGCGTTTCTCTGGCTACCACCAGGCCTCAAAGTTCCACATAGGACAGGTAGATGAAGGCACCAGTGCGTTCCCACACATTTCACACTGAGACTGGGAAGGGGCACAGAGCAAACGTGTGCTTATCTGAGAGAAGGGAGACAGCCATCTCAGGATGTGGTCGGAGCATAGTCCACATATGCTCGCTTCATCATGTCTGTCTTCTCAGAGAGCAAGCAGGGCCTTGATGCTATCATCTCTCCTGCCATTTCCACATTGACTTCAGTGTGGACTCGTGTGGTGCCGGGCAGTACCCAGTCCAGCAGAACTGATGCTCCACGTAGGGTTGCTGGGGAAACAGCCCCACACTGAAGAATGTCAGGAGTGGTGCTCTGTATAAAGTGTGCAAAATTCTCCAGGAATGTGAGACTTAGAATGGTTTCTAATAAGCTGTTTGTTGTTGTTGTTGTTGTTGTTGTTATGTGCCGTGGAGTCGGTTCTGACTCATAGCGACCCTGTACAGGGTTTCCAAGGCTGTAAATTTTTATGGGCGCAGAAAGCCTCATCTTTCTCCCACAGAACAGCTGGTAGTTTTGAACTGCTGACCCTTAGGATAGCAGCCCGATTCATAACCACTATGCTACCAGAGCTCCGTATTATACACAGTATTATTTATTGAATATATGGGGGCTTGAAATACAGATGCCTCAAAAGGAATCCTGGTATGGCACTGTAGGATAAGCACTGGACTGTTCATTGCAAGGTTGGTGGGTCAAACCCACCAGCTGCTCCTTGGAAACCCTATACAGGATTACTCTGAGACAGAACCAAGTCTAGAGCACTTAGCGACAAATAAGCACTTTAGCCCCTGCTATGCCTTGAGGCCTTGAGTCCTGGTGTGGCGCTATGGGTTAATGCGCCAGACTGCAAAGCCATTTGAACTGCAAGGTTGGCGGTTCAAGTTCACCAGCATCTCCTTGGAAACCCTATACAGGGTCGCTATGGGTCAGAACTGACTCGACAGCACTTAACATGCCTTAGTTGGCAATGATAAAGTCTCAGCCAATGAATTTCCATCTGAATGCAGAGCTCAGAGGGCCAGCCTGTCCAGGTCCCTGCTGTACCAGGCAGTGACTTCTCCTCTCAAGTATGATGGTGTCTGCAGTGGCTTACAAAGTTAGGGGGTTTACTAGCCAACATTGTTCATATTTTAGTAATGTTGTTGTTAAGTACCGTGGAGTCGGTTCTGACTCATACCAGCCCTGCACAGGGTTTCCAAGGCTGTAAATCTTTACGGGACCAGAACGCTTCATCTTTTTCCCATGGAACTGCTGGTAGTTTTGAACCACTGACCTTGATGTTGGCAGCCTGATTCGTAACCACTACACTACCAGAGCTCTTGTCTCAAGTGGTTTCCAACTCACAGAGTAGAACTGGGCTCCACAGGGTTTTCAATGGCTGAGTCTTGGGAAATACATCTCCAGGCCTTTCTTCCAAGGTACCTATGGGTAGACTAACAACACCAAACTTTTAGTTAGAAGCCAAACATGTTAACCGTTTGCACTTCATGTAAACCCCAGTGGTTACAAGTGGTGCTATTGCATACCAGGACAAATAACAATACGTTTCTTAGCATCTCTGAATCCTGTTGAGTCTGGCGCCAGCCTTTGCCTCCCAGACCAGGTTGGAAATGATCTCTGTCACAGGGGCTGGAGTGGCGGCTTTCCTTTGTCTTGGACTATATAGGAAACGGGCTCATCAGTCCAGGAAAGTGGTGAAGGCTTCTTGCCTTGCTCAGTCAAGC